TTTAGGGACGTGGGAGATACTGAACACTGAATATTAAACTTTTAGTGTTCATGGAGGCATTTTGGACCGTAGTGCATTCTGCCTCCTTTACTTTCACAACATGAAGCCAGGTACCCATTTCCAGCTGGGTGGACTGAGGGGGCCACCGTACCAGTTACATGAACCCCGGTAATGCATCAGTGACCACAGGGTCCAGCGGTGGAAACTGACCCACTGTATCATCCCGCTGTAAACAAAGTCTTTAAAAATAGTTTGATCTGATGCAATTACACACGCGTGTCCCACAGAATGACCCACTAATTAAAAAAACCTTTGAAGTATTAATTGATTTACTGCTTTAGTTATTTTTGTTGAGGAGAACGTTTATGCCTCAACAGACTACCAGTGACCATGTTGTTCTTGTTCGTTTGTTTTACATTACATTACGAGTTTTATTTAAATGGCGTCGATTAGTTAAGATATAATGATTTGTTGGCTTGTTTTTTAAACAACACAAATAATCAAGCAACCGCACTTCTTTAATAAATAATGTACACCCTATAAAGGCAAGTGTGTGTGTGTGTGTGTGTGTGTGTGTGTGTGTGTGTGCGCGCGTGCATGTGTGTGTGTGTGTGTGTGTGTGTGTGTGTGTGTGTGTGTGTGTTTTGTCACGCTAAATATAGATAATCGCCAATTAAGCTTTGAAAGCCAATTGGCGTTTTTTGTCCAATAAGGAAAGTTTTTCTTTATATTGTTACAACTTTACGGACCCTGACCATACACTGATGTCCTAAGTGTCTCTGTATCTGGCGTCTATTTTCTTGGTTTATACAATAATTAATGGTAAACAGATAAGATAGCACACGATATTTTCTAAGTAACGTACAACAGGAGAGAGAAGAATAATTGATAATACCCACAATAATTTTAATAGAGGAAAGATGATAAAATACAACTCCTATGGAAGAATCCGTTAAGGCTATACTGTTAGCGCAACAAGACCCAGCCGGACCTTCCATCCACAGCGGTTTACACTTTCTTGTGGTAATTTTATGCAGATGAATTCCTCCAAAATGCCACCCACGTTGTAATTTCAATTTGAATTAATCTGAATGTATTAAACCAGGTAAAAAAAGGAAGACACACTCGGCAAAAGAAGTTCATTGAATATACTCACAGTTATGAATCTTTTTTTTCCTCGGGGAGGACAGCTGTGCCCTGAGAGAGTTCTGAACGACGCGCCTCTCTCATGTTCCGAGTGACTTGGAGACTCTGATTTGACCTTCTGCTTTTCCCTGTGGCCAAGACATGACACCACTTCCAGCTGAAACTTAATTACGTTGTCATGGGCGGTTTACCTTGTGAGTATGCAGTACTAATTGAAAACTTGGTCTTCAGTCCAGGACATTCAGTTATGAACCTGGGCACGTAATATGAATTCGATTTATCCTTGTCTCAGAGTACGGTAGTCAAGTCAGACCAGCGAGTATGTCCCTGGGGGCTCCGTCTCCTCTGACAGGGCCCCATTGGAGGCGCCACCGCCCCTGGCATGTCCCTGGGGCTCCACCGACCCTGGGAGGACCCCTGGGCGCGCTACAGCCCCTGGCAGGGCTCTAAGGGGCGCCACCACCAGTAAGAGGGCCCTTGCGGACAGAACCGCCCCTGGGGGCGCCACCGCACCTGGGGGCGCCACCGCCCATGGCAGGGCCCCTAGAGGCGCCACCGCCCATGACAGGGCCGCTGGGGACGCCACCGCCCACGACAGGGCCGCTGGGGGTGCCACCGCTCCTGCAGGGCCCCTGGGGGCTCCGCCACCTCTGGCAGGGTCCCTGGGGATGGCACCTTGGGGCGCTACCGCCCCTGGCAGGGCCCATGGGGGAGCCGCCGCCCCTAGCAGGGCTCCTGGAGGCACCGCTGTCCCTGGAAAGGACCCTGGGGGCACCACCGCCCCTGGGAGGTCCCCTGGGGGCGTCGCTGTTCCTGGTAGGGTTCCGCCACACCCCTGGCAGTGCCCCTGGGGACGCCACTTCCCCTGGCTGGGCCCCTGGCAGTGCCCCTGGGGGCGCCATTGCCGCTAGCAAAGCCTCTGGGGGCGCTGCTGTCCCTGTGAGGGCCTCTGGGGGCGCTGCTGTCCCTGTGAGGGCCTCTGGGGGCGCTGCTGTCCCTGTAAGGGCCTCTGGGGGCGCCACCTCACCTGGCTGGGCCCCTACGGGCGCCACCGCCCTTGGCAGGGCCCTCTGGGGCACCACCGCCCCTGAGAGCTTCCCTAGGGGAGCCAAAGTCGCTGGCAGAGCGCCTGGGGGCAGGGCCCCTGGGAGCCCCATCGCTCTTGGCAGGGCCCCTGACAAATAAATTTATGTAACATATTATCATGGGAAAGCGATGAGTGCAGGTGAGGCTAGAGTGGCCGTTAGGTTAATGGAAGGTTAGAGTGGGCATAAAAAAAAACACACGCACACTCCCTACTACTTTGCTGTCACTTGGAATCGAGTATGACGATCATCCAGCAATGACAGAACATTGTGAATTTTTACTGATATCACCTCAAAATGGCGATGAATTTCGGTGAACCAAAACGAAGCTAAAGCCATAGAGCTGTTATCTTCACTTCTGTATCTGGTGATGCCGCGAGATGGTCTAAACTTTTGACCATCTCGCGGCATCACTAACACGATCTTTAGACTCTAAAGCCACACTGAGACTCCGGAAGGAAGTTTTCTGCCTCAGGGAGGGCTGTTAAAAAGCTCTAGAGCAAGCCCGAATACGACAGTCCCCTGGTCTAGTAACATTATACCATTCAATAACTCGAGACAACTACAGACAGGATATCGTCTGATGCCTTGTGTGGTGGTGGTAGTAATGTGTAGACCAGTAAGTATACATAAAAAACAAACGCTTTAGATATCAGAGTTGGGAGACTGCATTACGGCACGTTCCCTTTCCTCATTAAGGACACGAGACACTACACAAAGTCCCAAACAGCCACAAAGTTAGTCCCAGCCATTAGTTGTGTTTCGAGGTGAGGAGGCAGCCGAGTGTCTCCCGCTGACAACACTGAGTGGGCAGGAGGAGGAAGGTAAAACTCACACGCCACCACGTATGAAAGGTGGCAAGGACCTCGATAGGGGGGAGGTTCTTTACAGCTCACGAGGTCATCTATGCACACTATTCAGGTAGACCGCCAATACAACACCAAATTTTTTTCTTTACTGTTAAGAGATAGTTTTGTTGGGTAAATAAATGAAGGTCAATGTATTTAAAGAGAAACAAACAAGTGCAACTAACAAGAAATATACCACCAAAAAATTATATATGGAAAGTTTGGGTTATGAGTTACCTTTTTGTTGAACACCTTAAAACTGCCTGGCATCAATCCCTATTTTGTATAATTTATCGTTCCTTTTGGCATTCCTTTAATTATGTGATATTGCTTCTCATTCATCATTCTTGTTATCGCGTTAAACATTTGAGGACAATTATCTAACCCTTTATTCATGGTGGATTAATCCTTTGAGAATGATTGATCAACCCTTTTGATTGATTATTTTTATCATTTGAGGACGATGTAGTAACTCTTTGAGGATGATGGTTTGCCCTTTCATCCTCAAAGGTTTAAGATAATTAAAAGAAGTTATGAACCAATGTTTAACCAATTTCTCGTTTAAACATAGATTTTCACGACCGTGTGAACGCTTGCACGAAAGTTGGTCGTTTGAATGGCTGATCCAAATTATGAGTTAACATGCGCACCCATGTACTATATGCTGTACACGTACACGAGCATATATACTGTATATATATATATATATATATATATATATATATATATATATATATATATATATATATATATATATATATATATATATATATATATATATATATATATATATATATATATATATATATATATATATATATATATATATTTCGGAAATATGCTGATTCATTAACCTTGGAGAATTTAATTACATTTTTCATACTAATTACTCGCCAACTATGAGATTCCAAAGTGTGATTTGGGTGTTATGTGTTATTATGTAAGTACTTAAATAGTTAAACCCATTAAATTTCAATTCTGTAAAAAAGTATATTTTCGGCAAAAAATTACTAAAGGTAAAGGCTTACCTTTTCGACAATTTTGGCCCAAAAGTTAGATTTTGTTGAAAATCACATTATAAGTACTCCAGAGCATGCTGATTTCAAATATATAGTCCACGATTCAATTGCAGGGTAATTAGTGGCTGTAATGACCTTTGGAGAATTTAATTTAATTTTTCATTGCTAATTACTCGCCAACTATGAGTTTCCGAAGTGCGATTTTGGTGTTAATGTGTTATTCTGTAAGTACTGTATTAGTTAAACCCCTTATTCGAAATTCCGAAAAATTAAAACCTCTGAAAACTAAGTATTTCTGTGAGCAAACTTTTTTTTTTTTTAACAGGGATCAACCCACCCAGGTACAGATCACTGACCCTATATCAGAGGCCTGGGGCGAAAATAAATAAATAAATAAATAAATATATATATATATATATATATATATATATATATATATATATATATATATATATATATATATATATATATATATATATATATATATATATATATATATATATATATATATACATACATACATACATACATACATACATACATACATACATACATACATACATACATACATACATACATACATACATACATACATACATACATACATACATACATACATACATACATACATACATACATACATACATACATACATACATACATACATACATACATACATACATACATACATACATACATACATACATACATACATACATACATACATACATACATACATACATACATACATACATACATACATACATACATACATACATACATACATACATACATACATACATACATACATACATACATATATATATATATATATATATATATATATATATATATATATATATATATATATATATATAATAAGGTGGCAAAATAAACAACAGTTGCTTGTAAGAAGTATCTTTATTATTTGGAACTTAATCATTACATTTAAATATCAACAGTAAAAATAAATTTTCAAAATAATCAGAGCAGGCGACTGAGATGAGCCAACGGGGAAGGGGCAGGCTTGGTTGGGTAAGTGTATAAAAACTAAACATATCAACTCGAAACCCCAAATGACTATTTCAACCATATTTATCCTGAAGCAATGTACACCGGGCAAAACACTTTGTAATTTATAGTGTATGTGGGCGCCTATCACATCACAAGCGTCTACCCGGAACTAAAGTCGATAGAAGAGCTATGATAAGCACCTCAAGCACTTCACCCAAATGATCACATACCTGAGTTTCACCTGCCTAGGGCAGCCTCACCTGGCAGTTCATAATTATGTTGTTCTTCCCATGATTGACATATTTATGAATTTTATCTCGTTGACGTGTTGGCATAAACACTTTGGAATCATGGAAAAATGAATACCTATGAAATTATCCAATTATATACCTAGAGATCACCCAATACTCCCCATATCACTATGAATATCTGATGAAGACTTGATATTCTGTACATTACTCCCATCCTTTCCCCAATATTCATCTATATTACACAAGGAACCTCTCTGAGTTATACTGCAAACTAATTCGATGATTAAAAAGGAAAATCTGTGCCTACTCTCCATTTGTAGCTTTGAGGATGTGAAACAAATACTCTATCCACTTGATTATCTTTGTCCCTATGCACTTGTCGTAGCCCCACCTGTGGGCTGGCTCGCCAACTCACTGACCACCGTACCTGCCCCTCGCCCCACCAGGCCCGCTGCGCTGGGCATTGCACCGGTATCGTCGTTTACATCATAGGATCCTATAAAAATGTACAACTTGCCATCAAAAATACACTTTTCATCTGAAGGTACCTCGACTGAACACTATTTTGAAGACTGACAATGGCAAGCAAGTTTACAAGAGCCATCTGGTATAATACTCTTCCTATATTTACAGGCAACAACAAAATTTATATTATAAAATAAAGACAATAGTAAGGCTTGAATAAACAACTGTATGGCGATATATCAACAACTTCACCTGCCTACCTAGGACAAAATAAACAGCATGAGACTACATCTATGTACTCTGTCGGACTGGCTGATGGTACTTGACCAAACACACACACAATATGGGCGGTGTCTTTGCGAGAGTCCACCGATGTAACATACAGACTGAAGGCAACTTCAAAAATACACTTGCATTGAATACTTCCTGCCAACGAGAACCGGTTACGAGTCCCCCGTCACTAGCATGAATTTACACCTGGTAATGACCAAGACTTTTGTCACTGACCAGGTGTAGAGGAACGAGTGCACAACAAACGATGACTGAGGAGGACTGGTAGTTACCTGGGGCACGTGGCAGTACACATGATAATGAGAGGACCAGGTGACCGCACAATGACTAGCACACGCCAGCGCAGTGGTTGGGGTGGGTCACCTTGCCAGAGAGTCCAGTGCTGCAGTTAGCGCCACCGCCCGGGTGGTCCTCGTCACTTACACCTCACCACATACCTGTACACTAATTATGCCCTTACTGTCACCTTCCAAAAATACAAGGGAATGGAAGAAAGACAATACGTCAACTTGTAATATTAACACTGCAGATCCTTGAGTAACTGAACAATGCATGTTTGAGTAATCTCGACGTTCTTGTAACATTGTCTGTAATGACATTTGACTTTCGGCACCACAACAAGTTAATACGATATATATATATATATATATATATATATATATATATATATATATATATATATATATATATATATATATATATATATATATATATATATATATATATATATATATATATATATATATATATATATATATATATATATATATATATATATAATTTGACAATAGCCAGAAGTAATTGTATTAAATATATTTTTGTATGCACCTTGCTGATAGCTTTGTCACTAAACTACGAACCATTTTTACCATTTCTACACATTGCCTCGAACATTTCTATACAACAACATTGAGAGACCTTTAGTAATATCCGTAGTAATTTAAATTACTTTTCCTGACTACAGCGAGTGCAGGACAGTTTGAAACCATTGAACCACTCAAGAGTACAATCAACAGCTGTTTAGGAATTCATTAATGATGTGCACAGCTCCCACTAGCTGTCCCTGTTGATTTCACACCTAATCTGTTCAGTGTGACACTGATGTCCCCATACCTCTCAACAATAAATACTTCCTAATTTTACTACTCCATACCAATTTTCATTTTCTGTCACCTTTGAAGAAAGGATGATAATAGCTGATCCTTTTATCTTCATATATTTGGTAAATGTGGTTAATATCCACAAACCACCTGGAGATGGGACAGGACCATCCAACTCCCAAGGGAATACCTGCTATCTCCAGGTAACCAAACCATTCTTGTCTCTAAGTAATGACACTGTCACATTTACAATCCTTCATGATCTTCATGCAAATAAGTCAGCTCTACAGCCAGTTCCATTGGCCTTATACATGTGTTCAGTCACTCTCATATTTGATTGTTGCCTTATACTGTAAGATTCATAATAATATAGAACAATGTCACTTATTTTCATGAGTTCAACATTGGCAGCTATTTAAGATTTAAGCAGATTTGAAAAAAAATTATGGTCTGCTTTCTATTGATTCAAGTTAATTGGAACCGTTGACTGGAGCAGTGAATTAAAGAATTACTGGAACTGCCACAGGATGGTGGAGATGCCAACGACTTCATGGTCTTTCATCGACAGAAGTGAGTTAGCCAGTAATTCATGAAGCAGTGGAGGTGGCACGTCGACGACGACGATGGCGTCGGTGGGAACGACGCCTCTGCTTGTTTTGTCTAGCCTGCTGTTGCTGTTCTTGCTGTTGTGGTTCATGCTGCTGATGTTCAAGTTGTTTCTGTTGCTGCTGATGTTCAAGTTGTTTCTGCTGCTGCAACTGTTGTGGCTGTTTTTGTTTCTGGTAGGTGACAGGCACAGCAATACTGCACTCCTTGTAGTGTGCAGCTGGGGCACTTGACACCTGATGACTATCTGTGGTGGGGCTCGTTATTTGTGGGTTGAATGCTATGGGACTGGTGTCCTGGGGGTTAAATGACCAAGGAAGTGTGACTTTAGAGCTTGATGCCTCCAGGTTTGGTGCTGGTCCCGCAGACTGGAATTGATCATCAGATGACGTCCGAGGCATGTGGATGAGGGAAGTGGAGGCTGCCCATTCTGGCTGCGGGGACATGGCTACCGCATCCTCACTCTGAAGGCGAGGCTGAGACCTGTGGCATGCGGCCGGATGTCAGACCTCTGTAGAAGACTTGGGTCGGGACTTGCCACGGCGCCGAGCCAGGGCTGAGGCAGCCACAGGTCCTAGGTTGGGTGCTCGAGGAGAGTCGTTGATGGCTCTGCAACACACAACATATAAACTTGTTGATACTGGTTTTAATTTGTATTAATCCATTAATATTACATTAGAAACAAAGCCTGCGAAGAACTGTACTGAACCTTGTTATAAACGATGAGTACTGTTTTAAGGAATTGTAAGTACAGTACAGTATACAGAATAATATTTTCAATAATCCATAGTATATTTTTGCACAGAAAAGTAATAAAAGTACTGCCAGGTGAGCTACCTGTAGGTGGCGGATATGGCGCCCTTGACGAGCGAGGCATCCTGCAGCAGGAGCCTCAGGTTGGGCAGTGCCTCACGGTGCAACAGCCAAGGATGGTTAGCCACCTGAGCTGCCGTCAGACGCTGTCCAGGGTCCAGATGCAGCATCTGTGTCACCAGTTCCTGAAATGACAATACACATCATGATAATTTCCAATCAATAGATTCAACACTTTTTCTTATATTTAGGTATCATAAGAAAACGAAAGATTTTGTTCTGCAACACAGATCCTGAAGACTAATAACTTGCATGCACACACAAATAGACAAGCTTCAAAAGGATCACTTTTGAAGATATCAGATCATGACCATTCAAATAAAAACAATATTTTTTAACAGGAAACTTTTCAGCCAACAAGAAACCTGTATTGTGTGAGTAAACAAAGAAGGAACCTGGTGGCATATCTTAAAATTGTTAGGCCAGACTGTGGTTTAGGAAAATTATGGCGCACCGCATCTTGCCAGGAAACTAACAAATGCCGTCAGACGAGTATTGTACCAATACAGTCCTATGATATGACTCAACACCCATTTCACTCTCACATTGCAGATCTCTGTTCATTCTATCTTTATGGCAGTAACAAATTTATGGTAGATGTGTTATATGACACACCTTTTATTTTTCGTCACACACACACTTGGTTACCCTTTGTGCCCTTAAACTCAATAACTGACCTGATCAAAAAATTAAAAATACTGTCGATAAAACCAATCAAGATAGTGATACACGAAACTTTCCAAAATACCATATTTGTCAACAGTTAGATGTGCTACTTATGTCAGTAAAAGTAAATATACACCCTGCAATTTATATAAGCAGAAGCTAATAAGAAATAACAGCTTTATATATACTTTTTTGCCTGCACAAATTCATTAAAGAAATAAGGTTTAACATCAACCAGTCACAACTATATGTTTGTCTCTCAAAATAATAAGATGGAGTGGCAGGATAGATTAGACATCAAGTACGATAAATTTTTCTTCAAGCCAGTGATTCCTAGACAAATTTTCAGGGTGCATATTATTTGCATGCTGGTACTGAGCTTTTGTTACAGTAAACTACCCTGTACAGTACTTGTTATGTGGTGACGGCTGATCAAGAACTGGTCAGTGATATTTAAATAGGCATTAGTGGTGATAAAAAGTTGCAACATTCAGTTCTAGAGTTTGTGGTGGTGAATTATAGTGACAAGTGTGGTCTATATGGGGGAAAGAAAATAAGTGTGAAATATTGTTAGTAGTGAGCATCGAGCATCTGCTATTATTGTGAAGAAGAGTATGTATGATGTGAGCTGTGTGTTGAATGGGAGGCCCGCCCACACAGGCAGCAGTAGTTTGGGTGGGCGGAGAAAGCGGCACTCAGCATACAGAGCAGCACATCAAAATGGTAACCAGAGGGTGTGGCCAAGGGCTGAGGAGAAGGAGGGGGGGGGGGGGGGATGGGGACACCAGCTGTGTGGAACGAATTCACTTCATTCATCCCAACCACACTATTAAGTACTGCAGTAACCTCTTGCCATTTTCTGTTGACAAGTTCATTAAGTACGGTACATTTAATCTTAACCTTCCTATCTTTTTGACAATTTTTATTATTGTTCATGTTAAAGGACTAAAATTACAACCCCATAACTGTATATAGGAAAACAATGTTACTTTAATATACGAAGATATACAGTATATTGTACTGTATAAAGAAAATAAACATATCAAGGATTCATAGGTTTTATATGGATAGGTTAAGACGAACTGTGGCAACAAATGAAACTGAAAATACAAATACATACTATATACATAACAAACATGTGTTACTGTTAAAAAAAATACTATAATTGGTGATCCTCTTACATTTCAATCCTCTTTACATAATTCGAGTCCAGAACATCTCAAATAAAATTTAACACTAATTGAGCTTGTTACGATGCACATACAGGACACTACACAATTACCAAGTTAAAAATTACATGATAATTTTTTCTATGCTTCATCCAACTCCTACCACTGTAACCTGTTATTAACTGTGATTGTACTCAAGCCCTGGGAATAACAACAGCCGGAGAGGCCAGAATACTGTGACCTTTAACAACTTCCACACGGATCATTTCCCTGAACCTGACAAAAGTGGGTTACCAACCGAAACCTTTCAGGTGAATAGGCCCAAGCAGAAGGGGCAGCCGTTAGCTCTTTCCCGAAACTTCCGTTTGACTGTCCCTTCCTCTCCAGGTAATGGTCCTCGGCTACCCTCTCACTCAATCCTGATTCTATACCAAAATCAACTTTTTTCCCCTCTTACAACAGACTATCTGTCTTTAAGGACTTTTCCAGTTTAAAGTCTACCAATATATGTAACTTGTGTCAACTTAACACTGGCTAGCTGGCATCTTCTGGCTTTCGGATATAAGCTCCTTTAGAGACTGACCTTATCATAACGACTCTAGTGGAGTCCCTGTGGTAATTACAATTACCCCGCTACATGTGGATGACACAGCCCTGATGACACATCCTGATCCGTGATTTCCGACTTCGAACTAAACAGGTATTGTTGTCCTATGTATGATTGGTGCAGCCCTGTGACTTAAGCGTAGCAAATGAATCGGATGTGGTGAGACATACTGTGCATCACCGGTAGATAGGTGGTGATGTAAGTGGGAGGACGATACAGTTGGAAGAGACAGGTCAATACCGTAATGTTATTTGAGAACTGTGACAAAACAGGTGAAGAAAATGATAATTGTGCCACATGACAGATTAAGAATACCGGAGGCCAAGTCGTAAGTTTCAAATGTCAACAAGTATGATTATAAGCATTCCAGTAATAATGTGGTAAGACGACGAGTGCATGGTGGGGGTGTGGAGGGGTGCACAGTGGAGCACAGGGGGGTGTGGGAGGGTGCACAGTGGGGGTGTGGAGTGGGGTGGGGCACAGGGGGTGTGGGACAGAGGGTGCACAGGGGGGTGAGAGGGGCACAGTGGGGTGTGGGGGCACAGGGGGGGTGTGGGAGTGGGGTGTGCACAGGGGGGTGTGGAGGGCACAGTGGGGTGGGAGGGGTGCACAGTGGGGGTGTGGAGGGTGCACAGTGGGGGTGTGGAGGGGTGCATTGTGGAGGGCACAGTGTGGGGGGTGGGGTGGGAGGGGTGCACAGTGGGGTGTGTAGGGGGCACAGTGGGGGGGAGTGGGGGTGTAGGGGCACAGTGGGGTGTGGAGGGGTGCACAGTGGGGGTGTGGAGGGGTGCACAGTGGGGGGGTGGAGGGGTGCAGTGGGGTGTGAGGGTGCAGTGGGGTGTGGAGGGGTGCACAGTGGGGGTGTGGGAGGGGTGCACAGTGGGGGTAGGGGCACAGGGGTGTGGAGGGGCACAGTGGGGGTGAGGTGCACAGTGGGGTGTGGGGGCACAGTGGGGTAGGGGTGCACAGTGGGGTGTGGAGGGTGCACAGTGGGGGTGGGGGGGCACAGTGGGGGTGTGGAGGGTGCACAGTGGGGGTGTGGAGGGGTGCACAGTGGGGTGTGGGGTGCAGTGGGGGTGTGGAGGGGTGCACAGTGGGGTGTGGGGGGCACAGTGGGGGTGTGGAGGTGCACAGTGGGGGGGTGTGGGGGGCACAGTGTAGAGGGTGTGGAGGGGTGCACAGTGGGGTGTGGAGGGGGTGTGGGGTGTGGAGGGTGCACAGTGGGGGTGTGGAGGGCACAGTGGGGGTGTGGGGGCACAGTGGGGGGTGGAGGGGGGGGTGTGAGGGGTGCACAGTGGGGGTGTGGAGGTGCACAGTGGGGGTGTAGAGGGCACAGTGGGGGTGTGGAGGGGTGCACAGTGGGGGTGTGGAGGGTGCACAGTGGGGTGTGGAGGGGTCAGGTGGGGGGGGGGGGTGCACAGTGGGGGTGTGGGGGGCACAGGGGGGGGGTGTGGGACAGTGGGGGTGTGGAGGGTGCACAGGGGGGTGTACACAGTGGGGGTGTGGAGGGTGCACAGTGGGGTGTGGGGGCACAGGGGTGTGGGGGGCTGTGGGGGTGTGGGGGCAGTGGGGGTGGAGGGGCGCACAGTGGGGGTGTGGAGGGGGCACAGTGGGGGTGTGGGCACAGTGGGTGTGGGGGCACAGTGGGGTGTGGGGGCACAGTGGGGGTGGAGGGGTGCACAGTGGGGGTGTGGGACAGTGGGGGTGTGGGGCACAGTGGGGTGCACAGTGGGGGTGTGGAGGGTGCACAGTGGAGGGACAGTGGGGTGTGTGCACAGGGGAGGGGTGCACAGGGGGTGGAGGTGGTGGGGTGGGGGGGTGGGGAGGGGTGCACAGTGGGGGTGTGGGGAGGGGTGCACAGTGGGGGTGTGGAGGGGCACAGTGGGGGTGTGGAGGGGTGCACAGTGGGGTGTGGAGGGGTGCACAGTGGGGTGTGGAGGGTGCACAGTGGGGGTGGGAGGTGCATAATGGGGTGAGGAGGTTCACAGTGGGGGTGGGAGGTGCATGGTGGGGGGTGGGGAGGGGTGCACGGTGGGGGTGTGGAGGGGTGCACGGTGGGGTTGTGGAGGGGTGCACGGTGGGGGTGGGGAGGAGTCGAGAGTGAGGAGTAGGTCACCGAGGTGTAAGGCGGCAAGACCCTCCTGTTCTTAGCACAGTCAACCATCATCAATTTTTCACATTAAAATCAACTGTTGCTCACAATCTCACAACCAAAAGGTCAAAGATGCAGCAGCCGGCCTGTTGTTGTAGACTTGTTCCACCACCACTGCTGGACGTCACACTACCAGGGTGTAACACTGCCTGAGTCACATGGTGGTATGACTGGGTGCCACACTACTATCACACAGTATTGTTGACTTATACAGTACTCTATTTTAGTTTGTTCTAGTTAGTCCAATCACAACCCTGATGCTGACTCAAAACATATGCTACATGCACCTCACACAAAATTTTCACATAAACAGCCCCTTAATTTTCCTTCAATTTCTTTAAGGATCCAATGGCCGAATGGATGCAGAGTTCACTTCCTGTTCTATAGTTTGCTGGTTCGTATTTGGGGTTTTTCCCGTTGATCCAGCTGTGAACGGATACATGGCTTTAGTTGGAGAAGTAAAGGCGGTCGAGTGCAGCGTCGATAACATCACCACCTTGTGTACAGAACCTCAGTATTAAATATGCTGTATCCGCACTATCGGTATGGGTCCTATCCCCCCGCTTTCCATTTTATTTTCATTTACTTTACCGTTTAAAGAATTACATTGTTTATGATCAACAATACCAGAAAGCAGGCAGATACATCACTCAAAGAATATGAGGGGAACATGACATGATACAAGACATGATAAAATTGAACGAGGAGGATGGAGCACAAATGGGCAGAGACTGATAAAAGCTAAATGTAGTGTGGGTTAAAATGAACAAGGAATAAATGGGCAGAATGATTTGGGACGAGGGGAATGGGTGAGCAAGAGGCAAACAAAACTGGGTAAAAGTGTTGTGTGAATGTATGCTGGGTGTAATGTATAGGTAAAGTGTACAGGTGAGGAAGACATGTAGGCCAGTTAGTCTTCCACGTGGTTTTATATTGCAAATCACAAAATTACTTAAGTCCACGCCGCCAACATGTTTTAAACCACAGGTAGATGACCAAATCTTGCAATGACCATAAAATTTCACCACACACACAAAGAACAGCGTGCAGAGGAAGGTGTTAGCTCTCTCCCCATTGCCTCACCTCGGCGGCCCACATACACACACATCTCTTTACCAAGGAAATTAGCATACAAAGATACCGTAAAGGGGCTCGGCGGCCTCACCCATCATGGAGACATAAACAAGTCGGGACCACCCCTTAACACTGCTAACCTCCCCACTACACTGCATAACCACTATTTTGGCTCCACTCCCCTCTCAAGGTATGCACCTTCATTACCCTCACACGGCATCTCCACCCGCTTCAGGGATGTATGCTTTGATAAAAATAGTTCCAGTCTTCTCTTTTTACCTCCTAATGATATCCGGGAATAGGAAAATACAAAATAAAGATACGTTTATAGATCTCATCACCATCACATTAAACGAAAATTATAAACACGGGGAAAATTTCCAATAAAACCCCCGGCAAGTACCAATACCTAGTGAAACCCGGCGGGAGGTTACCGTGGAGTTTAACGGCTCACCTCTACTATTCCACCAGGGGTAAAAATTGGGGCAAGGTAGTGGGGTGGTAGGGAGTAAAACAGGGCATGGAGGTCCGGTGCCTGAGGGCAGCCTAAAGGTAGTGGCACGCTTCACAATGAATGTGGCCATTATGTTGGTCGGGGTGGAGGGTTCTTCTTGTCTTGCTGGCACTCGAACTTGCTGATTCTGCTTCTATTGTTACTCTGGACCAATGGTGATTATTTTGCTGTGGACCATTGGTGGCTGTGTTAGTGTTACTGAAGACACGCAGAATTATAATCTGAACTGTTACTGTGGACTAATGGTGATTGTATTGTTAGTGTTACCATGGACCATTGCGAATCATGTGTTATTGTATGTATGTATGTATGTATGTATGTATGTATATATATATATATATATATATATATATATATATATATATATATCTATCTATCAATAATTATATTATATATATATATATATATATATATATATATATATATATATATAATTTTTAGTCCATATAACAGCGGACTTTGAACATATAATCAACGACCTCACCAGCAGAATCGAAACCCTCGACCTACTGGGTGTGACTAGGAACAACACCGGCTAGGCAAGGACACTAAAAGCAGTTCTAGACTCTGTTATATTTCACACAAAGCCTGTTCATCAGCTGATGGCGCCGTGAACCTCATTGGAAACTGCCGTGCCTCTTATGTGGTGTCAGTAGCATTTACCGAATCCAGCTGGTATGAAACAGTACAATATATCTTCATTTTTGTCCATATAACACGCGGACTTTGAACATATAATCAACGACCTCACCAGCAGGAATCAAACCTCGACCTACTGGGTGTGACTAGGGAACGCCCAGCTGAGCCACAAGGACACAAAAGCAGTTCTAGACTCTGTTATATTTCACACAAGCCTGTTCATCGAGCTGATGGGCCGTGAACCTCGTTGGAAACTTGCCTTATGTGGTGTCAGTAGCATTTTACGAATCCAGCTAGTATGAGCAGAACATATATATACTTCATTTTAGTCCATATAACACGGGACTTTGAACATATAATCAACGACCTCACCAGCAAAATCGAACCCTCGACCTACTGGGTGTGACTGAGAACGCAACCAGCTAGCCACAAGGACACTAAAGCAGTTCTAGACTCTGTTATATTTCACACAAAACTGTTCATCGAGCTGATGGCGCCGTGAACCCATTGGGAAACTGCCCGGCTCTTATTGTGTCAGTAGCATCGAAAGCTGAAACGAGGTATATATATATCATTTTAGTCCATATAACACCGGGACTTTGAACATATAATCAACGACCTCACCAGCAAGAATCAAACCCTCGACCTACAGAGTCTAGAACTTTTAGTGTCCTTGTATGGCAGCTGTATTCATATATATATATATATATATATATATATATATATATATATATATATATATATATATATATATATATATATATATATATGATTGCCAGGCGTGTGGTAGGAAAGAACGAGTGGTGGGAGGAGGTGAGGTGGGAGGGGGAGTGGTGGGAAGAAAGGGGCGAGTGTGGGAAGAAAGGGGCGAGTGGTGGGAAGAACGAGTGGTGGGAAGAAAGGGGCGGGTGGGTGGGAAGGGAGTGGTGGGAAGGGGCGAGTGGTGGGGAGAAAAGGGCAGGTGGTGGGGAGAAAGGGGCGAGTGGTGGGGAGAAAGGGGCGAGTGGTGGAGAGAGTAGTGGCGGGCGTCACGCTCACCTTGGCAGCAGGGGACACGGACACCCAGTTGCCGGAGTCCAGACTGAACTTGCCCTCTCCGATACGCTGAAGGATATCCTCAGGGGTGTCGTTAGGGCCCTGGGCGAACGGCGTCTGCCTGTAAAACCACAAGATACATCTGGTCAGGTTTATGTGTTATTTATATAAATGTTTGCTGCTGGACACTTTTCTGTAGCAAATTGCTTTGATTACGTAGGCATTACATACACCAGCAGACTTCACAGGTGGTAAAAATAGGAGTTTTGAGAGAACATATATGTGTATGTTGGAAAATAATTCATACTGCACCTCTGTCGATATTATTAAGGGATCTACACATAAGGTACCATCAACACATTATGGTGAAAAATGTATGTCTTCGCCTATAAAGGACATTTACTAATGGCCAACATAGTCATAATAAGATAAAAATATATGGATTGCATTTGAAGAAGACACGTTGTTAGGCTTTTGTATCTCTCTGGGGACCCATTTTTATTTCATTCATCCATCCAGGTCTCTTCCACTGCCCCTTGTACCCTCAACTTTGCCCATTAACAGTAGTTGTTATCCTCCCATCCCTAATTATATGAGCAAAGTATCTAATTTTTCTTTTTCTGTACATTTCAAGTATTTCTCTTTAAGTTTTTGCTCATGTTAGAACTTCTTCATTTGTTTTCCTGTCAGTGTAGCTTATTCTTAGCATTCGTCTATAGCACCACATCTCAAAGGGGCTCCAACCTCTTTCTGGTGTTTGCTGAAAGTGTGCTTCTGACCCATATATCAGTCCTTGCCATATAAAGCATTTCAGTAACACCTCAAATTGAAGTTAGTGTCACTGTTTATTAAGTCCTTTAGATTGTTAAATTCTGTTTTTGCTTGACCTATTTTGTTTTGATTTCTTTTCGTACATCTACCATCACACCTATGTTGGTGAGCACTTCCCACCAGAAGATTTTGCTTAAGTAGCAGTCAACAAAGTGAAACACTGGGATTAACCAGATTTATTACAAATGAATTTAAGTCATCATCAACTGCGCTCAGTTTCAGTACCAATCCAGACTAAATGATTGACTCAGATAACAATTTGACCAGTCCTCTCTGACCCACCTTGTGACAAATTCTCGAGGCAGTTGTTGAGTGTTCAGATGTGCTGAAGTGCCACCTTCTTACTGCCATTTTAATTGTTCTTTACTTTTTTTATGGATGAACATGATGAGAAGGAAGACACGCGGGTGAAGAGTAGAGGAACTATATGCTGTGTTGAGCCAATATATCCCTATGAAGTGCAGGCTTACCTACCACTCAACTTGCCAAAAATAACCTAACCAAATATATCTACCCCTTCTGAGACGCACATTTAATAAACTAACCAAATCTGGCGTAAGTGGGAGCAGGAGGAGAAAGAGGAACAAATATAATACAATAATGCCGAAAAGAAATATGTTTAATGAGTTAACTGACCGGGTGCAACATTACTTCCCCAAGGCCTTAAAAAATAATAAACAAAGCGGTGTGGCCAGGCGTTAGGATGAGGTCGCCATATCAATTTTCGAATGCCATTGCGCTAGTCATCGTACGGAAACCTATTGTCTCAAATATATGCATAATTACGTGTATGTTCACTTATGCACATGTTTAGAAATACAAGCAAACATAAAAGCGAGATCACTTCTTCGTCTTCCCCTATTGACCCGCCAGCATGGGGGTAATAATAGTGCACATTTGATGAAACTATTGTCCTCATTCCCAACAACAAGAACATAGGTAGTTTCTAATATCTACGTCACCGCCAACAGCAGCACAGGTAAGAACAACCCACGAACAGTAATCACAACTGTAACGGTGAAAACTGAAGTAACAGAACTACTAACGCTGGTTCATACATTTACAACAATCACAACAGTAGTAACACCAGTAGATAAATTCACAACGTCAGCAGGTACAGCCAGCCAGCTTGCCTCAATATCCCCCTTCCCACACAATAACTGTATAACGTAGTGACATAGGAGACGACGTTCGCCTGCCTCCGCTCAGTTTTGATCTAAGCCGCCAAAATACCTAATGAACCACAGCTATCATATAGCCATTATTTACGGCTAATCGGTACAGAGACGAGGCTCGATTACCCCCTCAGACGACTCACTAACAACGACCGAAACAGAGTCGGCTCCATACGTTTTCAAGAGCAACACGAGGTTTAGATTCTCACAGCCACGAGGTCCTGTGCCCTGGGAGAATCATCGGATCATGGTGTCACCTGGAAATAGGGCGTATATATAAAAATATATATCCATGTCCAGTGTAATAAAAGAGTTATCCCAGGAGAGCAGGAAATTACGCTAAGTAGCGGAAGGTTCCACGCCAGAATCGGAGTGAGTCACGCCAGTGAGAGAAAAGACGTAGGCAAGGCGCACGGAGACTCACTGCGCAGGAGAAAATGGTAAGGTGGACAGTCACACTAGGGGAGCCAGAAGTGGGGAGTTTTCATAGACAAAGATAACGATACAGCAAAATCATCGTGCAGCTGTGAGAACACGTTTACATAGGTAAATAACTTAATTATTTTCTCAATCGAAATTTAATTTCACTCCTTTGTAAATCCATTTAAGTACCTCCTTACAAAGTATTCAAGTTAACGATGTGCAAAAGACCTCATCAAAGGTACCGCATAGTTTATTATCCGTTTGCACTCAATATTTACGGAAGGAGTTTTAAAAAGACTGGATTTATAACACAAACGTATTAAGAAAACGTTATGCCCTAGTACAGCAAAAAGACAGAATATCGAGAAAGTTCCTCAGCAGCAGGGTCACTGCCTGCCAAAATAACACAGACAGGAAGTTGCTCCTCTGAGACGCTACAATACCGTGACACCAACGACTTCCCTCAAGTAACACACGGCCAACACGGTCACCAGACGACTACACAAGCTTGGATTTGTATCCTGTCAATATAGTGAACATGAGAAGAAAGCTCCTCTTAAAAACTTACATTTTGCAGAACTATTTTAACAAGCCCACTCAAATTCCTTCAATCTATTATGACAATTGCTGACATGCTACCTCCTCCTCACTCTGCACTCCCCCCTCTCTCCTCTTCCCATTCATCACACCACCATACCAGATCTCCTCTGACGACAATTTTGCCGATGACGATTGCAGTAGATTTAATTCTCGTTCAGTAGTCTAGATTAGATCTGAAGTAATATAAGCTGTGCTGGGCTGTATAAACTATTGTGGTGGTGGTTTGTAAAGGTACTGGATGTGATGATAAATGGTGCAGTGATAGTGGTGATAAATGGTATGGTGATGGTGCTAGTGGTATGAAGGATGGAGAAGATGGCAGAATGGTGATGTGGTGCGGTGGTGTCCATACCTTGGCTGATGTTCAACCTCACACAAACGAAGCCAATTATTCTCTGCTTACCAGGTCAACTTGTAGTTATGTCACAGCTCAGCCATACCCGTCTTACAACAACCCACTCGACTATATCTGAAACCTCACGACGCCAGTACCGTCCTTAGAATTTGTATACATGATAGCGAGTTGGAAAAGCTAGGACAGGAATAGTTACGTAACATTCATAGTGGAGTGAGAGGATGGAGAGGGGTGATGTAAGGAAGTTGGAAAGGAAATTATGTGGAGAATCTCAGAAAAAGGAAGAAACTGTTGATTAAGTGAGTGTTTTTTCCAATTAGGTCAAAGTTTCCCTCCAACTATCATGACAACACATAACTCAAAAACACCATCCATGACAAAGCCTATATAACCCCTTCACTCTAACAAGCTCCATCTAAATACAAAGAAATGAACTTCAACAGTAATCAGGTCAAGACTTTATAATTATTTCTCCTGTATTCAGCATTCGCCTGCACGACCACAACCTGGCTTTCCATAATGCAAAACTAATCACGATCAAACCCTAACCAGACTTGTGTTATTTTTATTTTTTAAGTTTGTTATTCATGTCTAACACGAACACCATGATATAATGTTACTCCCAAAAAGGAGTTACTTCTATTACAACAACACAACACAGCACAGTACAGTACAGCACAGCACAGCACAACACAACACACTACGTCTATCATGGCCTCCCATCAGTCCTGGAGGAGGAGAACCCTTCCCACAGGTGCCAGACAAGGCGGGTCCCTGGCGTCATCCTTCGTCTTCCCTGACAGCCTCAGGTCCTCGCTGATCCCATAAAGGACAGGCTGAGCTAAAATTGTTTTTCTAAGCGAGGCGGGGAACCTGACAGGTGTGGGACCCTCGAGGCGCTCCTTCCCCTCATCCCTCGCATAACACCCTTTCCCCACCGCCTCCTGATGACGTCACGGTGCTGCAGACAGGTACGGTGGTAGATGGGGTGAGATGGTGATGGTGGGTGGTGTTAGATGGTGATGGTGGGTGGTGTTAGATGGTGATGGTGGGTGGTGTTAGATGGTGATGGTGGGTGGTGTTAGATGGTGATGGTGGGTGGTGTTAGATGGTGATGGTGGGTGGTGTTAGATGGTGATGGTGGGTGGTGTTAGATGGTGATGGTGGGTGGTGTTAGATGGTGATGGTGGGTGGTGTTTGGATGATGGTGGGTGGTGTTAGGTGGTGATGGTGGGTGGTGTTAGATGGTGATGGTGGGTGGTGTTAGATGGTGATGGTGGGTGGTGTTAGATGGTGATGGTGGGTGATGGGCTGGTGGGTGGTGTTAGATGGTGATGGTGGGTGGTGTTAGGTGGGATGGTGGGTGGTGTTGGATGGTGGGTGGTGTTGATGGTGTGGTGGGTGGTGGTGGGTGGTTGGTGGGTGGTGTTGATGGATGGTGATGGTGTGAGGGTGGGTGGTTAGATGGTGATGGTGGGTGGTGGTGTTAGATGGTGATGGTGGTGTTGGGTGATGGTGGGTGGTGTTAGATGGTGATGGTGGGTGGGTGTTAGATGGTGATGGTGGGTGGTGTTAGATGGTGGTGGGTGGTGTTAGATGGTGATGGTGGGTGGTGTTAGATGGTGATGGTGGGTGGTGATGGGTGATGGTGGGTGGTGTTAGATGGTGATGGTGGGTGGTGTTGGGTGATGGTGGGGTGGTGGATGGTGCTGGTGGGTGATGTTGGATGGTGGGTGGTGTTGGTGATGGTGGGTGGTGTTAGGTGGTGATGGTGGGTGGTAAATGGTGACGTTGGGTGTGGATGGTCATTGGGTGGTGTTAGGTGATGGTAGGGTGGTGTTGGGATGATGGGTGGTGTTAAGATGGTTGGTGTGTTATGTTGGTGTTGGTTCGTTGGTGTTAGATGCAGGGTGGTTAGGTTGATGTTAGCACAGTGGTTGGTGTAAGGCGAGTTGGGCGGTTAGGTGATGGTGGGTGGTGTTAGGTGGTGATGGTGGGTGGTTTTAGATGGTGATGGTGGTGGTGTTAGATGGTGATGGTGGTGTTCAGATGGCGGGTGGATAGGTGATGGTGGGTTGTGTAGGTGATGGTGGGTGGTGTTAGGTGATGTTGAGTGGTGGGGAGGGTGGTTTTAGAGTTGATGGTGGTGGTGTTAGATGGTGATGGTGGGTGGTGTTAGGATGGTGGGTGGTATTAGATGGCGATGGTGGGTTAAGTAGATGCAGATGGTGGGTGGTGTTAGATGGTGATGGTGGGTGGTGTTAGATGGTGATGGTGGTGGTGTTGGGTGGTGGGTGGTGTTGGGTGGTGGGGTGGTGTTGGGTTGGGTGGTGGTGTTGGGTGGTGTTGGTGGTGTTTGGGTGGTGATGGTGGTGGGTGGTGTTAGATGGTGATGGTGCTGGGTGTTGGATGGTGCTGGTGGGTGGTGTTAGATGGCGCTTGGGGTGGTGTTGATGGTGTCTTGAATTGGTGTTAGATGGTGCTGAATTGGTGTTGGAAGATTATGCGGAATGGTGTTAGATGGTGTCGGTGGGGGTGGTGTCATGGTGGTGATGGTTGTGGTGTCTAGGTGGTGTTGGTGGTGTGGGTGGTGTTAGATTGGTGCTGCGGGTGGTGTTGGGTGGTGTCTGGGTGGTGTTGGGTGGTGTGCGGGTGGTGTTGGTGGTGTCTGGGTGGTGTTGGGTGGTGTCTGGTGGTGTTAGGTGGTGTGCGGGTGGTGTTGGGTGGTGTCTGTGGTGTTGCTGGTGGTGTCGGTGGTGTTGGGTGGTGTCTTGGGGTGTTAGATTGGTGTGTTGGTGTTAGGTGGTGTCTTGGTTGGTGTTAGATTGGTGGTCTGTTGATTGGTGTTGGTTAGTTGTGCGGGTGGTGTTTTAAATTGGTGCACGGGTGGTGTTTGGAGTGGTGTGCGGGTGGTGTTAGATTGGTGTCATGGTGGTGTTGGGTGGTGTGCTGGTGTGCTGGTGGTGTCTGCTGGTGGTGTTGGGTGGTGTGCAGGTGGTGCTGGTTGGCGGGTGGTGTTCGATGTGCGGGTGGTGTTGTTGGGTGGTGTGCGGGTGGTGTTGGTGGTGTCTTGGGTGGTGTTGGGTGGTGTCTGCGGGTGGTGTTGGGTGAGTTATGCTGGTGGTGTTGGGTGGTGTCTTGAATTGGTGTTAGATGGTGTCATGGTGGTGTTGAATTGGTGTGCTGGTGGTGTTAGGTGCGCGGGTGGTGTTGGATGGTGTGCGGGTGGTGTTGGGTGGTGCTGGTGGTGTTGGAGTGGTGCTTGAGTGGTGTTGGTTGTGTATGATTGGTGTTGGGTGGTGACGGGCGGTGTTGGGTGGTGTCTGGGTGGTGTTTAGATAGTGTCTGGTGGTGGTGTATTATGCGGGTGGTGTTGAATTGGTGCTGGGTGGTGTTCGTTGTTGTCTGCGGGTGGTGTTGAGTGAATTGTGCGGGTGGTGTTGGTTGATTGTATGGTGGTGTTGGGTGGTGTCTGATGATGGTGGTGGTGATGCGGGTGGTGTTAGATGGTGTCGTGGGTGGTGTTGGGTGGTGCTGGTGGTGCTGGGTGGTGTGCGGGTGGTGTTGGGTGGTGTCTGGTGGTGTTGGGTGGTGTCTGGTGTTAGGTGGTGCTGGTGGTGTTAGGTGGTGTGCGGGTGGTGTTGGGTGGTTGTGTGTTGGTGTTGGGGTGTGTGTGGGTGGTGTTGGGTGGTGCTGGGGTGTGTGGGTGTGGTGCGTGTGTGGGTGGTGTTAGGGGTGTGGTGGTGTTGGGGGCGTGTGTGGTGTTGGGCGTGTGGGTGGTGTTGGGCGTGTGGGTGGTGTTGGGTGTGTGTGGGTGGTTGGGGTGTGTGGGTGGTGTTGGGTTGTGTGGTGTTGGGTGTGTGGTGTTGGGGTGTGTTGGGTTGTGTGTGGGTGTTGGGTTGGGTTGGGGTGTGTGTGGGTTGGGGTTGTGTGTGGGTGGTGTTGGGGTGTGTGTGGGTGGTGTTGGGGCGTGTGGTGGTGGTGTTGGGGCGTGGTGGTGTTGGGGCGTGTGGGTGGTGTTGGGCGTGTGGGTGGTGTTGGGGCGTGTGGGTGGTGTTGAGGCGTGTGGGTGGTGTTGGGGCGTGTGGGTGGTGTTGGGGCGTGTGGGTGTTTGGGGCGTGTGTGGGTGGTGTTGGGGCGTGTGGGTGGTGTTGGGGCGTGTGGGTGGTGTTGTTGGGGCGTGTGGGTGGTGTTGGGGCGTGTGGGTGGTGTTGGGGCGTGTGGGTGGTGTTGGGGCGTGTGGGTGGTGTTGGGGCGTGTGTGGGTGGTGTTGGGGCGTGTGGGTGGTGTTGGGGCGTGTGGGTGGTGTTGGGGCGTGTGGGTGGTGTTGGGGCGTGTGGGTGGTGTTGGGGCGTGTGGGTGTGGTGTGTTGGGGCGTGTGGGTGGTGTTGGGGCGTGTGGGTGGTGTTGGGGCGTGTGGGTGGTGTTGGGGCGTGTGGGTGGTGTTGGGGCGTGTGGGTGGTGTTGGGCGTGTGGGTGGTGTTGGGGTGTGGGTGTTGGGACGTGTGGGTGGTGTTGGGGCGTGTGGGTGGTGTTGGGGCGTGTGGGTGGTGTTGGGGCGTGTGTGGGTGGTGTTGGGGCGTGTGGGTGGGGCGTGTGGGTGGTGTTGGGGCGTGTGGTGGTGTTGGGGCGTGTGGGTGGTGCTGGGGCGTGTGGGTGGTGTTGGGGCGGTGGGTGTTGGGGCGTGTGGGTGGTGTTGGGGCGTGTGGGTGGTGCTGGGGGCGTGTGGGTGGTGTTGGGACGTGTGGGTGGTGCTGGGGCGTGTGTGGGTGGTGTTGGGGTGTGTGAGTGGTGTTGGGGTGTGTGGGTGGTGTTGGGTTTTGGTGGTGTTGGGTGTGTGGGTGGTGTTGGTATTGTGGGTGGTGTTGGGGTTGGTGGGTGGGGTTTGCAGGTAGGTTGGTGGTGTTGGGTGGTGTTGGGTGGGTGGTGTTGGGTGGGGTGTGTGGGGTGTGTGGGGTGTGTTGGTTGGTGTGTGGGGTGTTGGTGGTGTGGTGGTGTTAGATTGGTTGTGTGGGTGGTGTTTGGGTTGGTTAGATTGGGGTGTGTGGGTGGTGTTGGGTGGGGTGTGGGTGGTGTTGGTTGGGGTGTGTGGGTGGTGGATTGGGTATTGTGGGTGGTGTTGGGTGGGGTTGTGGGTGGTGTTGGTTGGGGTTGTGTGGTTGGTGGTGGGTGGGGTGTGTGGGTGTTGGTGGGGTGTGTGGTGGTGTTGGTAGGATTGTGGGTGGTGTTGGGTGGGGTGTGTGGGTGGTGTTAGTGGGGTGTGTGGGTGGTGTTGGGTGGGGTGTGTGGGTGGTGTTGGGTGGGGTGTGTGGGTGGTGTTGGGTGGGGTGTGTGGGTGGTGTTGGGTGGGGTGGGTGGGGTGGTGTTGGTGGGTGGGTGGGGTGGCGTTGGGTGGGGTGGCGTTGGTGGGGTGGCGTTGGGTGGGGTGGTGTTGGGTGGGATGTTGGGTGGTGTTGGGTGGGTGTGTGTGGGGTGGTGTTGGGTGGGTGTGGGTGGGGTGTGTGGGTGGTGGGGTGTGTGGGTGGTGGTGGGTGGGTGTTGGTGGGGTGTGTGGGTGGTGTTGGGTGGGGTGTGTGGTGGTGTTGGGTGGGGTGTGGGTGGTGTTGGTGGGGTGTTGGGTGGGTGTGTGGGTGTGTGGGTGGGTGTGTGGGTGGGGTGTGTGGGTGGGGTGTGGGTGGGGTGTGTGGGTGTGTGTGGTGGTGTTGGGTGGGGTGTTGGGTGGGGTGTTGGGTGGTTGTTGGTGGTGTGTGGGTGGTGTGTGTGGGTGTGTTGGGTGGGTGTGTGTGGGGTGGTGTTTGGTGTGTGTGTGTGGGTGGTGTTGGGTCGTGTGTGTGGGTGGTGTTGGGTCGTGTGTGGTGTTGGGTGGTGGGTGGTGTTGGGTGGTGGGTGGTGTTGGGTGGTGTTTGGTGGTGTTGGGTGGTGTTGGGTGGTGGGTGGTGTTGGGTGGTGTGGGTGGTGTTGGGTGGGGTGTGTGGGTGGTGTTGGGTGGGGTGTGTGGGTTGTGTTGGGTGGGGTGTGTGGGTGGTGTTGGGTGGGGTGTGTGGTGGTGTTGGGTGGGGTGTGGTGGTGTGTGTGGGTGTGTGTGTGTGGGTGTGTGGGTGTGGGTGGGTGTGTGGTGGTGTGTGGGTGGGTGTGTGGTGGTGTGTGTGTGGTGTGTGTGGGTGGTGTTGGGTGGGGTGTGTGGGTTGTGTTGGGTGGGGTGCATGGGTGGTGTTGGGTGGGGTGTTGGGTGTTGGGTGGTGTGTGTGGGTGGTGTGTGTGGTGTGTGTGGGTGGTGTTGGGTGGGTTGTGTGGGTGGTGTTGGGTGGGTTGTGTGGGTGGTGTGTGTGTGGGTGGGGTGTGTGGGTGGTGTTGGGTGGGGTGTGTGGGTGTGTTGGTTGGGTTGTGTGTGGGTGGTGTGGGTGTGGGTGGTTGGTTGGGGTTGTTGTGGGGTTGGTGTTGGTGGCACGCTGAGCCACCATCATCATCTCCTAATCCTAAATTTGCCAAGGCATTAACAGGCTGGGCCTTGCACATTTACCGAGTAATAAGGGCCTGCTGATGAGCATTGACACGGGACATGTACAAGGCCTTATATTTCTCCTACCCCTTATCAAGGGCAGAGCACATAAGGTTCCAAGGATGAGGGCTGGTATCATATTCTTCTAACTGGTCATTGAGACGTGCAATGTTTGTGAGCATCTCAGTCAGCTGGCATGTTGTAGGCTCACCAGGCTTAATGTCATCCTCTTGTGTTGGTTGCTGTTGTTCTTGTTCTTCATTATCCTCCAACATTTCGTCAATTGTCGGTTGCTGCTGATGTTGACCAATGTTTTCTGGCAAATCGTTGACCAACGATTCTTTGCAAATCTTCAACCTGAACATCTGAAAATCCCGGTGCTGGGACTGGGAGTACTGCCTCCACTGTGTCCATTAGTGTTGCCGTCACGGACTGCTCCACTTATCTCGGAGTTAGCAAACAAAGGCTTCCATGCGTGTAGCACTGTTGCAACATTAATCTTCCGCCATGCCTCAACAATTCTGCCCACTGCACTCTTAATATTATATTTCTTCCAAAATTCACAAATTGATAACACTTCATGGTTGCGGGGTGGTGAGGTGCTAGGAGTCAGGTCATCTACCATCTCGTCCTCCTCCTCCTGGTTAGCTGGTAGAGCCTGGCCACTGTCAGAGAGTTCTGCCTCGATTTGTTTTAACTCGACTAATGAGTCTGCCTGCTGACGAAAGTCTTTATAGAGTGACTGATAGTAGAACAGTTTAACATTACTGATGAATTAGTGATCAAGTGGCTGCAGAATCGATGTGGTGTTAGGAGGAAGGAAGATAACTTGTACATTAGGGTGATGTACAATTAGAAACTTAAAGAGTGTCCAGGAGCATTATCCATCACCAGGATCACTTTGAAGATAATGTTCTTCCTCCAGTTCTGTTGGGCATCAGGAACAAAGTGCTTCTCAAACAAATCGGTGCATAAAGACGTTGTAACCCAAGCTTTCTTATTAGACGTCCAATAAACATTGAGCTGCGACATATTGGCATGACGGTAGGCTCTAGGACGGGCAGCACGGTTAACAACCAGGGGTTAAATCAGGAAATCTGCACTTGCATTAGCTATGAATAAAACTGTAATCCTGTCTTTTGAAGTCTTTACACCCCTTGCCTGTTTTTCATCCTTAGTAATGAAAGTGGTCTTAGGCGAGTGCTTCCAGAAAAAGCCAGTTTCGTCACAATTGAAGATCTGGTCTTGGCAATAACCAACTCTTTCACATGAGCTTGAAAGACAGGTGGATATTTTTCTGCTTCTATGACATCAGCCAATGCGCTTCCCCCATGGTAGTGGGCAAACTTGACTTCATAACGCTTCTTAAAGGCAGCAACCAACCAACAGAAGCATTGAATGCAGTGGAGTTTATAGCCTCCGGAAAGTGGGGGAACCACTTTGGGGCCAAGGCTATTAAAATGTTGGGGAAGACAAAACCAAACCTGTGTACAACTTGCAAGATGCAGTTTTGGGCATTATTACACCAATTTGATTGACAAATGTGGTAGACGTCTCTCATGACACCAGCCTAAAATAATCAGCAAATGAGGTATAATGGCAACGCTCTTATTCCACTAATCATGATTCATTGGAGTATTGACACATGAACATACACTCTAAAACTGTATTATTGCTCACATAGTCACCAAAATTTACCACACTAAACAAACGGTAACATCTAATGTAATAACATATCGTGAAAAAAAATTAATGATCTCCGCTTCACACATAATGGAATTATAGAAGACAACATTCGTTTTCGAACATGAAACGCATGCAACTACATTATACCCAATGGCAAATGGCAATGAGTAGGTTTAAATTCACCGCAATTACTGTGATGGTAGCAGTAAATTCAGTGCAAAAAACAATCCTCACGATTAATATGTAGAAGCGCTGCCAAGCAACGTCGACAAAACAATATAATCAATTCCCTCAAGCGTGCACTTTCGTCGATACTTTGTGATATTACTCTCAATCTGTCACTGGACATAGAATTTCTTAGGAATGTTTTTCACTAATTTCATATTGAAAAGCTTCTCTTACTTGAAGCACTGTGGTAACAGGAAGTCACAATATCAACAGTAATTTTATACAACAGTCAAGTGCAGCCTTATAAGGGCATATAAATGACAAATTGCACGGCGATGAAAGGTTGTTTATGTGTTCCTTCCACGAGCAATTTTGTTCTTCACAGAGGTATCTCATATTGTAAATCCTTTGACTGACTGAGTATGTAACTGTAAATGCCACTTCGAATCTTATTTAAAGACAAGAATGTCATCGCTTCTGGACAAAGAGCTGAAATCCACGAAAAGAATTACACAGGAATCTATTGGAGAAATGTACTGTCTAATTCACTAATCAAACAGTCTAGGACTTCACAGAAGATGCCAATGTGCACATGACTCATGTCAGATCTTTGACTGGTGTTTCCAGCACAATGAGTCTGTCATTCTGTAGAGGTTTTTCTATTAGTTAGCTTCGTGTCTTTACAGTGAAATGCTGCATTTCTCTGAGCTCATCAATTTTCTCGGAGTAATGCTCCAATCAAGTTACAGTGGCTTTTTATCAGCTAGATCTTCACGGACAGACAGAAATGAGCATTGCTGCTTTCCCTAAGTCTGCTTGCCTTGTCCTGTAACTGCTGTGATAGCATCAACATTTCCAAGAATCTCTGAAAGGCTTGCAATAGAGTAGACAAATTCTCCATCATTTGCGAAAGTAAACCTCCCGGTAGGATGCGGCTGGAGTAGCACTCCAGTGTCTTCTGTAGAAGTCTCCTTCAATAGATCTTACTAGGTAGGGGGCCTTGTGAGCATTTTTCACCTTAGGGTGGCCCGACACCACCACCGTGTATCACTCAGATATAAGTTCTCGGACTTGTCCTCCTGAGAACATTCTCATTGTATAAAAAATGAACCTCTAAACAACCAGGTTACAGAGTAGATATAGGAGTTCTTCAAGCAGACTGAAGGAATTAGACATACAGAAATGTTAACGCGGTAGTCAAAACCAAATTGAGCCTGTGTCACTTGGCAGTGTACATAATAAGGCAAGGAGCTTTATCACGAATGCATTTCTAGAACACCACTGATTCACTCCACTCATGACTGATGCTCCATCAAATCCTAAGCCAACAAGTGAAGATTTGTAATCCAAACCGAGTTTTAAACTTTTCAGATTCGATAGTGATGATTAAGCATCCATGACACCATAAGAATTGAAGGAAATAAAAAGCCTCCTGAATGCAATGTGACACTTCATCATAAAATCTGACAGCTCTTGCCAACTGCTCTGTTTTACTAACATCCTTTTATTATCGGCTTGAACAGAAAAGTAATGACAAATTTTTACTTTGTTGCAATTTCTTCTCTCACCCTTGACTCTGAGTGTCAATCATCTCATTCTGTAACCGCTGGGGAACTGGTGTATTTCTCTCATTCTTTGGATATTTATACGATCAGCTATATGGATCATGTGAATCTAAAGGAACTACGGATGTTCCCAGGATTCAGTTCTTACGTCCACTTTTCTCTGTATGTCCTCTCTGGGCAATGTCACAAGTTACTGTCAACAGATTCTCAAGAGTCTTTATGTAATGTGATTTTCCACGAACTTTTTCTTATAGGCCTCCCTTATATACAGGCAATGGATGTCTTCTCAGGCGTTATTGCGTTGGTAGTCAGCCATACACAATACATGATTTATTGGCATTGTGGAGTTCAGGTGCTTTCAATGGCACCATCTTTTTCCACATGTGCTTTTTTTCAGCGTGGGAAGCTTCTCTTTCTGATCGTCATCTGCATTGCCATGAGCTGAGTGGTGCAAAATGCCTGCCACGAAACAGGAAACACTGCATCATGTTCTTGAGAATATTCAGCCACTCATATTAGTCCAAACCAAGCACCCACACGAATGACCGAGCATGGGACTTTCCTTCACTATGCTTGGGATACTCTAACTAGATGGGGCTGAACAGGGTTTAACATGACAGATCTGAGATGTCAGTTAATTGCAGTGTCTTCCTCCTTATTTTTCTGTTACTTTCTGATGAATGCAAGCTCAGTTATATCAGAATCCTTTGACTTCTTCTAACTTTGCAGGAGGGCCTCAGATTCCTTGTTTCTTTTGCTGGCGTTTATTTTTAATAACAAATTTATCACATTTACTTGTGGTAATCCAACCTTTATCTGTAAAAAAAAAAAACCCTACAAATTAATGGAAATTATTCAAAGATAATGATAGGAATGGTTTTATACAATTAACAGTAACCTCGCGAGGCTGCGACTATCCGTCGTAGCATAATATAGAAGCGTGTTAGCGTGGCTTCTCTAGTTAATCTTCATTGCGTCATTAATACAACAATTATAAATTATGATAACTTCAGTCATTTTGTAAATACAGTACTTACTGATCAGTGATCTGATCACAGATAAACAATTCTGCGGAATATGCGTGTAGGATTTACCTATCACTGGTGACTTAGTAGAGATGCAACTGACACTTTCGGTTTCTTATTTTAATGCCTTCTTGTACCTTATTTCATTAATAGATCATTTTTAACTATAGGAGTATGGAATCATATACAATCAGTCAATCATTCAGTTCAAAGTCAATCAAGTGGCATAGTTGAGCTTCGCTGATTTGCTTTAGACAGTATAGATAAATCAGTACAGTCCATGATTATATCATTGTTACAAAATGTAGGCCTAAAGCATTCTCTCATGACATATTAATTATATATTCCTTCGACATATAATATATGTCCTTAAGAATACCTTGAGAGCCTACATTTTATAATGACAACGATGAACTAACTGTTACATATACTAACTCAACAACTTCTAGCCATAGACTGAATGATTGAGATTGACTAGTTATATGTACTCCTATAGTTAAAAAATTACTCACATGTTCTCTCTAAGCATACCTCCTTGTAAGTAGAAAAACCCATTAGCACTGCTGGCAGGCAGGAAGAACATTTTTTTCTGCGTGTAGTTTGGGCAAATTCGACTGGTACTGTCCAGTCCTGTCACTGCCCTCCTCAGTGGAAATGCAAATTAGTAATGTTCATCACCGACAAGGCAGTTTGTTTATATACACCATGATGTGACCCACCCGCATATATGCAGCCTCCCAATTCCTGCCCTCGGGCCTCCTCCACCTCACCAGCATGCCTGTCTTGTGGCCCATTGCCTAAGTCACTTGACTCACTTCCTGCTTGTGGGAATGTTTTTGGAATTACAATTTTGAGAATAAAAAGTGGGGGGGCCAGCCCAAAATCTGGGGCCACCCAAAATCTGGGGGGGCCATGGCCCCCCCCTGGCCCGTGAATACCCCTGATTGAATGGTGGTGGAGAGTCAACACGTTTCTTCTGTGCAACTGCAGCCTAATAAACAGGTGCCTGATGCCTTCTCTGTGGCCCAGACAGGTCGCCTTGCTTACGGTTGGTTTCTTTTCCACCACTTGTGAAGTAATGTTCTGTGATAACTAGCAGTAGATTTTGTTGTGAAGTATCGGAGAATGTCCTGCTACTAGAAAATCTTGAAAATATATTCACAGAAGCAATTAAGGCTTCCTTGTTCTTCTTAAGGGAACATAAGGTTGATTTGGAGCAGTTGAACCTATGCATGATTTCACAGGTACGAGCACCACTTTTGATCATTCCAAGCATCTCTCGTTTCATTTCAAGGGTGTATTTCCTCTTCTTGACCTTCTTACGGTAGTCACGCTTGGCTTGGGGCTTTCCTTGTTGACCTTCTCTACGGCCATCATTACCACCAGAACAGCTGACGACATTTACAATACACACTTCACTCATCGTTAATACAAAATTGTTAATACACAAGAATCGCTAATACACAAGAATCATTAAAAGTTAAACAAGAATCTTGCCAAACATAAGCACAATGGGTTATATAATCCAAGGTCACTGCACCGCTCACTCATTCAAACTAACTGCCATTACACCGTAAACAAAAAAACA